AAGCCCTGTGTATGATTAGGCTATTATACAGATGCACAACTTATGTAGGGAATAAATATGAAACTAAAAAACAACAAACAACATTTAGACAGCTTTTGGATTCCATTTTATAGGATGAGTAGCTAATATTGAAAAAGTGAAAATTCTTTTTTAAAGTGAACAATTATTTTGAAAAAATTAAATTTAAAATTTCTCTTATAAATTCTGGGGACACATTATCTAATGTTTAACTGCACAAATTAGCAGTGATGTAAAAACACTGTCTGTGAAAAGAGGAGTGTGTAGCCTTGAACTAGTAGCATCGTCATCGCCCAAACATCATCAGAACATAGTCTTCTCAAACCAGCTCTGGGACATCTACCAAAACAATTCACTGTTGTCCAGTCGTTGTTCCTGTCCTGTTTCAAGTACATTTTGGGGGAATTTCTTGATGTTATAGCTTAATGTTTAGATAGTCATTGAGGTCAGGATTTCCACTACGGCAGGCATGTTTGGCCCTGGAATGCCAGAATTATTGTTAAAGGGGTCCTATTATGCGTTTTCACTTTTTCAACTTTAGTTAGTCTGTAATGTTGCTGTTTGAGCATAAAAAAGAGAAGTTACAAAGCTCAAAGTCCAAATCAAAAGGAGATATTTAATTTAACAGAAATCACTTTTCAAAAACTTCCCAAGGCGGACAAACTTAAAGTTGTTACAATCATCCGGGTTTAAATCGTGCTCAAATTGATTTTGACACAATATTTACACTGAAGCTGGCAGGCGGCTATGGTAAGGGGCATGACATTTCCCGACCAGGTGCCGAATGCTGCCAATCACAACACACACTGGCCCAGTTAACCAATCACAGCACATTTCGTATTTCAGAAGGCGGGCCTTCATTTGATACAGGAACTAATTGAGCCGTTCATGCAAGACTGAGGAGAGAGAGGTGTTGTAATAATGTAAAATATGTGAAAAATAATGTGTTTTCGAACAACCGTTCTAGTACACCCCCAAAACAAAATCAAGACTTTTTAAAAGAGCATAATAGGACCCCTTTAAGTGCCTGAAAGCTGATCATATGATATAAACATGACTTTGCCGCATGGGAAAAAATATTTGCAAGTTGGAGCTGGAGGCCCCTTGAACCAGTTCTGCTAATTTCCGTGTTTGTCTTGGGAATCACACATGCACGATGCTTCAGATCAAAGAAGCACAAACATTTTAGTAGCTTCACAGTGGCAGCCGAGCAAATGAAATCATTGTAAAAAATGTAGTCGTAAAGTCAGAATGAGTATATGAGTAGGGACTTTTTAAAGAAGTCTCTAATGCTCACACAGGCTGCATTTGATCAAAAGTACAGTAAAAACATTAATATTGTGAAATATTATTGCAATTTAAAATAACCATTTTCTATTTTGATGCAGCCTATTTTAAAATTTAATTTATTCCTGTGATGACTGCTGAATTTTCAGTATCGTTATTCCACTCTTTAGTGTAACATGATCCTTCAGATATGCTGATTTGATGCTCAAGAAACATTTATTATTGTTGTCAGTGCTGAAACCATGATACATTTTTGCAGGATTCCTTGAAGAACAGACATTTCAAAAGAACAGGAATTATTTGAAATAGAAATCTTTTGTAACATTATAAATGGCTCTACTGTCACTTTTCAACTGAATGCATTCATGCTGAATAAAAGTAGCCTACATTTCTTTCAATCTCTGTAAAAATGACTTTCAGGCAGAACTTTTGTGGTGCATAATAAATACCTACTAAAGGGAAACAACAAGCATGTATACAAATAAAAAAAGTCTACTGTTTGTGTGGAGGGTAGGTGAGGTGAACGCTCTTATCTGTTATCTTTTCACCTGAAAAAAAACAACAACAACAAAAACCTGCACCCCAATCGGAAACCGGCTCTGTCACTCTGCCACCACTCACCACTCAACAGCATCTACCGGGAAGTTTCCCAACTTATCAAAACAAAGAAACAGAAATTCTACAGAAGTTCTACGAGTTTTTGAACAAAACAAGTCATTTGTACTTAGGTGTGTAAGTGGGATTCTCAGATGTTTTGTGTTGCCAGTTAGGCTCCAAATGCTAAACAAAAAATGTCAAAGCAAGAAAAATGAGCGGAAAACAACTCGGCTTCAGAAGCAATATCTTGTATCAGCAATTAAACCCTGAAAATAGAAAGTAGGAGTACCTAAGTTGTGTTTTCACGCTTGTTTGAGAGTTTAATGTGTCCTTTACGCTTCACATCCTGAATATTTACCTTAGTTTGTTTATAGCAACAGCATTGCCTTTCTTAACAAAGTTGAGAGCGTTATTCTGTTTTGCCTGTTTACATTAAATATAAAGAAATTAAAATAACTGAATATATAACTAAATAATTCATTAAAAACAAAACATGTATCCCTCAAAAATGTATTTGGCTGCTATGTAATGTAGTCAGGTGGATTCAGTCATATGAATTCAAATGTTTGACTTACGCAAAAATAGTTAACACTACATAACACACTTCAGTTGCCTGACAAAACGTTTTTACAGAAGTCACATTGGAACAAACTCAAAATGAGCAGGTCTGACGGCAAGTCTTTGATAACTGAACAAACATATTTTATAAGCAAACTCCCGCAGAACGCTGCATGGTCAAAATCTCTTGCCCTGACTACTGATTATGACATCCCGTCAAAGGGGGTGGGAGGTTAACAATAAGGTCTCTGTGTTCTCAGGGTCCCAGTGTCCTAGTTAGAGTGTGTCATACAGAATACCAGTCATACTGAATAAAGACGACCACCTAACAACGTCTAGAACATTTTCAGCACAGTGGGCCAAAGCAAAACCCACAAAAATGTTGTCTGATCTCTGGGTGAATGTCTCAAAACCTACCACGAACACGTTTTAATTTCAAAATCAGAAGTAAATAAATAAAAAGTTACCTTTTGTTTTGCATATAGAAAAAGAGGCGTTTTTATGGACCATTAAGATTTTCATGGCCAACACGCACATTTCTTACACAATTCTCAACATAGGTTTTGTTTTCTTCATGCAAAATATTATCATTTCTTTCTTGCGATTAATCTCAGGATGAAATTTGACCTGGACATGTTTTTGTGTCATAGGTGTTCAGGGGGAACTGATAAGCTCATTTGCCACACCTTAAATTATCACCAGACCTTGTTACGAGTAACAGATGGCCTTTGAGCAAGTCAGGCTATTTAGTTAGCATGTGCAAACATCAACTTAGACCTCGATCAGTCGCATATACAGTACAAATAAAATGTATTCTCCATTTTGACCTCCTTTGGTTTTAGCACATACTATTGTGTTACAACACAAAATCATGTATTTGATCAAGAACCGTTCACATTTTTGAACACAAAGCACTTTATAATGTCAAAGAATAAAATACAGATATTACGAAATCAATTACAGTTAAACACGAGTGCATAACTGAACACATAATGCGCCTTTTGTTGTCTGATTCACCAAAACATCCATGGGCAAATCCAGCTATAGTGTAAGAAATAGTTTTCCTGAATAACGACAGATAAACGATTGATAGATATAGATAGATAGACAGAGAGACAGATATACAGAACAGAAAACAGAAAGAACAACAGAACGAATTATACATATATACTGTAGATTTTATTTTATTTTTTAAAGTAAGCTTCCTGTAACTCCTTCAGGGTTTCCGTAGGCCTCTCAACTGTTTCCATTATGGATCTTTCTGTCTGGCTGGCTACTTATTTTTGGAGTTCAGCCAGTTTTGGGTAGAGTTACGGTGTTGTTTTTTTTTCATATTTTCTCATTCTGTGAATGTTGGTCTTCGCTCCGCTCCAAAGCATATTTCACCCCTTTGGATATATTTTCATTTGTTCTTGTCTTGACTGGAATTTTTCAAGAGTATTACAGATTTGAATGCAAAGTCTTCGTAGTAAACAAAGAGTAGCGTTTTATAAATGTTCACAATGTATCTGACATCACAATAAAACATGAACAGGCCAATCATGTAATTATATGACTTAACAATGAGAGTTTGTTGTGTCAAAGCAAAAAGATTATGTAATTAAGAGGTGTTCATTGTGTTTATAGGCACAGAAGATGGAGCTTGCAGTATATGCAAGATATTAGCTAGCCTACTTCATAAAAAATTAGGAGAAATATCAGTTACTGATACAATATTAATGTGATAAAAGTGCATTTCTAAGTTAGCAGCCAAAGGAAACATAACCCATAAATTCAATCAGGGAAGGAATAGCTGAAATTTTACCTATTTAAAAATAGGCTATGTATATATCGCTAGACACTGAAACATTGACTCTAAACATGCAGGTTCCCAGTCGTTTGGTTTATGTTTAGTATTGACTAACACTAACAGCACCACCTTGTGTTCAAACAGAAACCCTGCACAATAAATACAAACACACTCCCTTCTAATTCTCCCTTTCCAGTAAGCAACCACCATCTTTGCAATGCTTTAACAACCACCCTCAACAGCCATGCATTGGGACGTTAACATTTTGGGCTTAACATTTTGATGTGAGTGAGACTCTAACCTTGTGTGATCTTCTTAGATAAGAAGGATGAGTGTCTAGTATATCTATCTAGTATAATCAATGTGCAGGGTTCTGCTTTGTGTATATAGTGTGCCATATACTGTGACCATATTTGGAACTATGATGGGCTAAAATTGTACTCATTTTTCTTAACACTTTTTTTTTTTTTACTTTGAGACTTGATTACTTAAAGTGACTTTCTTACTTTTTACTTTCTTAGAGAGTACACTTAAAATATCTTTTAGCCATTTTGAATGGAATCAATCAATCAATAAAGCAGAAGAACCTGTATTTTAAACAAGTGAATTTAGGACATTTTGTGAATGGATGAGAAATTTTTGCCAGGATCAAGCTGTATGTTACCAGTTAGTAGTTTTCATTTATCCTTTAATTTTTAATGAGTAACAGTCAATACAAACGTTTTATTGACAGCTTTGTTTTAATGTTAAAAACAATAAAATAGCTAATTTATAATGATAAATTTAGAACAAGATTTTAATTTAGATTAGCATTACACTATGCAGAAATGCCTTACAGTAACACACTATTAACTGATGAATTAATTCTTGCATTCAGTGGTTAATGAGATCTACTCTCCATATCCAAGGTTGTGTAGCTCCACCTTCAGTTTAGTTTTCTCTAATTTAAGTTTTTGTGTTTCTAATTTTAGTTTGATCATTTCCAATGTCAATACTTCATACTGTTTATCCAGTAAGCTTCATAGTAATGTTGCTTAGAGGGTCTTTCCGTGTCTCAGTCTCTGAAGTACTTGCCACAGGTGTCATCTGCATGCTGCCCTTCATTCATCTTCAAAAATAAAAAAATAAAAAACATTAGGGAGTTGCAGAAACACATTGTTTGTTGGAAACATTTCTCTCCCAGAATGCTGTTGCTACTACATGTTAGTTAACTAACTTGGTGAATTAAGACTTGTGGTTGTAAGATTGTAATGATGAGCTTTACCTTCACTTTGTGCCGTTCCACGGAAAACGAGGCTGGATTCAGGTGCGGGTTCAACAGGTGCTTTATTGTACAGAGATTATCACTGCGGGCAATGAGCGCCTTCGCGGACAGTTACTGTGGACGTGGAGTCCCCAACCACACAGATGGGTGGATAGCAGTGGCTGGAACAAGCCGCAACAGCAGCAGTGGAGACGGAGCCGGAGGGGCAGCTCGCTAATCCGAGCGAGAGGCTGAGAAGCCCAACAACGAGACCGCAGAGTCCCAAGGTAGGTGGATGCCGGAGGAAGCCCACGGGTTCCTGAACGCACAGAGAGGTGCGGGAAAATAAACAGATCGCTACGAGCACTGGAGCCTGGACGAGACAAGACAGGACTGGTAAGCGATACTAACACTGACAGTCAGAGCAAGGGAATAATCACAACAATCTGACAAAAGACAGAGAAACACGAGGAGCTATAAGGGGAAGCTAATGAGATGACCAGAACCAGGTGCGAAACAAGAGGAGAGCAGAGAAACAAGGAGGGCGGGGAAACGATCATGCTGACATATACGCACGTGGCGAGCTGTCAAAACAACCACGCACAAAGACAACAAGAAACAGGTGATCAGACCCGAGACCCGACAGTACCCCCCCTCCCAGGAGCGCCACCAGGCGCCCCAGGAGGAGGCCCACCTTGTCGCCGACGGAAGTCCTCGATCAACGAACGGTCCAAAATGTCCCGGGACGGCACCCAGCATCTCTCCTCTGGACCATAACCCTCCCAGTCCACGAGATACTGAAACCCTCTGCCACGGCGCCGCTCGTCGAGTAATCTCCTAACCGTATAGGTAGGGGAGCCATCCACAAGACGAGGGGGTGGGGGGGCGGGAAGATCGCCGGCAGGGTTAAGGGGAGAAGAAAACACAGGTTTAACCCTAGAGACATGAAACACAGGGTGAACCCGACCAAGAGCAGGAGGGAGCTTGAGCCTGACCGCCACTGGATTAACCACCTTGGTGACACGGTACGGCCCAATGAATCTGGGTGCCAGCTTACGAGA